CCCCCCTTCCCCCTCCTGCCCCCCCCCCCCCCAACCATTCACACCTGGATATGTGAGACCACCTGGGAAGAAGATGTTGCTGCAATTATTGGCTAGTCAGACAGCCAATCATTTACCACCTATTCAAGCTTATATGAGCAATTTAATTTTCCTAATACGAAAACCTTCGTTCGAGTTTGAAACCTTATTTGAGTCTTAGAATCTATACAATGCGAGAAATGCTTAAAAAGTCACCCTACAAATGTGTAAAATCAGGTAATCAAATAACTCAAAAATTTCATATGGTACAATTGTAATTTTCGCAACAGGTTTTCCTATTTATAGTCAGAGCTAAAATCTTCCTATCTAGGGAGCCAATTTATTAATTTTAAACTAATATTTTGTATGACCGATTTGATAAAGTCATTAGGTGTCTAATATATTAAGTACATCGACTAGCTTTACTATTTTGTAACCTTAATTGATTGCCAAATCTAATAATGATATATGTGTCATGACATTTAAAAATAATTAACTGCGTGTAGATGCAACTAGGTATAGAAATGCCTCATTTGACACAATGGAAACAACACATTATCAGAATTCATATTAGCATAGTTTAAATATCATGTCAACGATTTTTGAAGCTACTGAGCAACTTTACTATGTTCACTGAAAATATATTGGCGAAATGAGTGTTTTCTAAAAGTAAAATTATATGACTATTATTATTTAAAGTAAGAGACAAAATCAGTATAACAAATTCATAAATATTCTTTGTAGTTTTTTCTTTAAATTTTAAATCCTCAATTTTTTTTAAAATTAAACATGCCGTTACAATGTCAAATATTAATGTTCAATTTTTTATTGAATTTGTTAGCTTAGGTTATTCTTAAAATGTAAACAGAAAATAATATTTGATTTGCTTATTTGTGCCTTTATTTCTGGTGTTAATATTTAACTTATTCAACAATGCACGACATTAACATTTGTGTCATCCTAATGGCTCAATCAATTCATTTAACTAACGTTTGTTGCATTTTTGTGACAATTTTACTTTGGTTGTAAGAGATATTAATGAAATTAACTATCGGCTTTATTGTGAAATTCTAAAAAACGTATTTTTTAAATAGTATGGTTTTATTGAATATTGAACATAGTAGTAAATATTTATTTATTTATATCAAATGGCAGGCTTTATGATAGTTATCATTAGTCCTTTAGTTGACTTCAGGCTTCACAGAGGAAGAGAAACATCAAATCGAAAAAAGTCTAGGGGAGGGGTGAACAGAAGAGTGTTTAAAGATGTTAAAAAGACACATAGACACAAAGGCAGAGAAAAGGTAGGATTAGTATGGTGGAAGTGACATACAGTAAGGTCATGGTAGTTTGAAGTCAGAAGTCAACTACCAATAAATAGACTTTTTTGCCGTATGAGTATACGTTGCCCAGGGCGTAGGTAATAGACTTTTTTGCCATATGAGTATACGTTGCCCAGGGCGCACAAATAGATTTTGCCGTATGAGTATACGTTACCCAGGGGGTCATGGTAGTTTGAAGTCAGAAGTCAACTGCCGGTTTTGGGGTGATGGCAATTTGAAGTCAGAAGTCAACTGCCAGTTTAGTGAGGTCATGGTGGTTTGAAGTCAGAAGTCAACTGCCAGTTAAAGTGATGGTAGTTTGAAGTCAGAAGTCAACTGCCGGTTTACGGACTTTTTTGCCGTATGAGTATACGTTGCCCAGGGTGCACTACGTGGAGGTAAGTCGATCGCACACCCCATAGTAGTTAATATTGACAAACGAAAACGTCAATGACTATCTTCACTTCGTCGTGAATGACCTGAACTGGTAATATAATCTTGTTGTTGGTGTTGGATGTAAAATAATAAGCCCATAAATCGAAGTGGCACGACAACTCATAGAATCGAGTTAACCAACCACGATCAACGAGCTCTTACTATCGCGAATATGATCTTCCACAGGCATCTTCTAGTTTAAGGGTGGCGATTTAACGTCAGAACATGACAAACTGAACTCTTATTCTTCTTCTTCTGAGATCATGAACTTGTTCTATGTTTCTTTATTTTGATGTCTTCTCATCTGTGTCTTAGAAAATCAAAATTAATTTAAAGGAATTTCTCTAAAAATTTGTCTTTGATTCAATTTTCGTTTGTTTGTGGTGATATAGCGTTTGTGTTTCCAGCATATTTTATGCCCCATTTTTAGATCAAATAAAGAGAACAAAACATTCTCTATTTTTCCATATTTAATTGTGATTTGAAACAATTCTTACCAGTGTGAACCCCTCTTAATCAGATCTCATGTCTCTCCAGTCTTATATCATTTTTGTATAAAATCGATGCATTTTACAGGGCATATTATTATAAAAGTGGAGCAATGAATATGTTTTATATCCGATTTGAATAGTATGTTTATTAATATCATAGATTCTTCAATTCTTAATTAACTTATAGTATAATACGCGTTTAATCTGCTAAGTCATAAATAAAATTATTTAAAACACTTCTGTTTGCTCTGTTGGTCACTTCCAAACATATCGATGGCTTCATGGGGCAAACTGAATAATGCATGATCACTCAGTAAGTGATCTCAAATCCAAACAGTTTTCTTCTTTGCCTTCTTGAATCAAAGATTAATAAGAAACTTTTGCAGGCCATCAAGACGCAAACCAATCCTCGAGGGTCATCTCCATCTGTATGGCAGCTACGTGATCCCTCATCAAATGAGACTCCTAGTGCATTTATTGACCTTCGAAAGCCCCCTCCTCCCCCTCCACTTACAGCAGCAACAACAGCAACAATGTCAAACAATGTTGGAGCGCCAATAGCAGTCATATCAACCAACGCTTCTCGTACAACAACTAATCCGACGGCACCTCTCAAGATCACCGCTCCATTAGTCAGTTTGGTGTGTCATCCGGCACCTCCTCCGCCTCCAAAGCGGTCACCTCAAACCGTCCTCACTGGGTAAGATTCTTATCTGATATGGGCTTGCCTTCAGCTGATGCATCGGTGTATCAGAGTGAAGTTCATTTAAATTTGCACGAATTTGTTAGTTAAAACAAAAATATTGAAACTACTTTTGATTGCAATCAAAATGCATTCAGGGACTATGCCCAAAGCACATGTAAGTTAAAAATAGTTTAATGGTCTTTTTTGAAATTAACCTGAAAATTTTTTAATCGTTTAAGGTTTTTAGATGAATTTACTATCTTAAAATGCGTAAGAACAAATCGGGGTTGGACAATGTTTGTCATTGTCATTAAGTGAAACTTCAAATAACCAACTATTGTGTTGTGTTATTCAGTATTAACATATTACCTTGTTAGTATAAAGAAGTTGTCTCCAAACAAAATGTGTGCTCTACAGTGAAATTATTAAATGACAAGTTTAGTTTTATAAATTCCTTCCTTTAACAACAAAAGATAATTTTAACGAGGCTGCACAAATATAAAGCTTTAGAGAACTTTTTCTATCGTTTCTGCGTTCAAGGTTAGAGAATATCAACATGCAGGTCAACTAACACAAAGGTCACGAAGTTAGTGAATGGTTGGGATCGATTTATTTCCCTTATATTTGGACTAATTCTCTAAATCCTCAATCAATAATGAAAGGAAAAGGTTGATTGAATGTTCATTGAAATCAGACTTGTGTGGTTATAAACTAACTTTCCTTAATTCTTTTCGATTTGATTTAATGGAATACTGACTTCATAATCTACTTCAAATTACTAAGAGCTAATATTAGCGTTGACATTCATTTTAAGTTTTGAATATTTTTTTCAGAAGTTAAAATGCAGTAAGACGGTTGGTAGGAAATCTATTTTTCAATCATCTTAAAAATGTAGCGATTCCAAGTTGTCATGTCTTTTTTCATCTTGCTCAGTGAGATTGCAAATGATGTTGAGCACTTAAGTAAAATAGGTTCTAAAATTTTTATGCTTTAAAGAAAATTAAGTTACTCGTCAGAAAGCATGACATGGTTGAGAATCTTGTCATTTTAGCTATCCATTTACACTGCTGTTTTTATGCATTTTAACGTGTTCTAATATATGAGTTATCATATAATAGATTAGTTTATTTTGTATTGCATAAAATTTGCCTTGTTATTTCAATATTGGTGAGTTGTGACTCACTAATAATTGTGTCAATTTAAACAAGAAGTTTAACAATTTCTAAAAAGGTGTTTTTTATTGAATAGTGTTTTGTTGATTGAGTCATATGGAATAACCCTTTTTATCGGAATCAGCAAGCCAGTTAAACAAAGATTTGCTTGGAAAAAAAATAGCATGCAAATTTTAGCCAGTCTATGTTTCATGGTGTATTTTTCTAATCTTATAATCCATCTTTAATCCTTTCATTAAAATCTATTTCTCGTGGATGTACTTTTGAAGGGTAGACTATTCAATTATTAAATTAGCCAAAAAAGTAATCATATTTATTGGGAACTATCAATTCCATGGGGCTAAGACTATTGCTTTATTCGGAATAAGGAAAGGTTTTTAAGATGTTTATATTTCTCTTTCATATGATCGATTTTCAATAGCACATAAAGAAATGGCAGTTATTTAGCGCTTAATAACTCTTCACTTTATTTTAAATTCTATTTGAAATTTTAAAAAAATGAACAATCACTTAACTTTGAGCCACTATTAGGGAAAAGATTGATTGATCTTTTAAGCTATTTATTCGCCTTTTCGTTTAGCCTCAATTTTCGCATCTTCTTTGTACATTTTTTTCTTAAAATTAACCCCCCCCTCAATTTCGTTTTAAACATTGAAAAATTGTATGGCAAACACGAATTGTGATAATTTGTATTGATTTGATCGACATTTATAATTTTGAATAAACGCTTCATCTTTATCCATTTTTTGCATTTGACATTTTCAAAAATGTTACTATCTTGTTATTTTAAATAGCTTCTGTTTATTATCTCTTTAACTTATTTAAAATGGATAATAATAATAATACTAATAATAATAATAATAATCAATTTAGCAGGAAATAGGGATAGATCAAGCAGAGGCAGGTGAATAAGTCGAGCGTTATTTCTCTTCCAGTGGAAATTTGTCGGCGATTCTAGTATTTTAAATATTTGTTGATATTTTATTCTTTCCATATTGTTCGTTCCTTGATCGGTTTTCTTTGGCGTTTATTTAAAATTGTGTCCAGAACACTAGAGGTTATTTCCAAGGTCATTTGGGTTGTTGATTCTTCGCTTTCGTAATTGCGGCAGCTGAAAGAAGAACAAAATATGTCATGAAAGGACATCTTTAAACTTTAAGGAATCGATAGGATTCAAATTTATCTTTAAAGGATTTGTATTAAATTCCTTGAGGGGAAAGATCGAATCTCTGTTATGTAAGATGTCAGTATTGGGCCAAAATGATTCCCTTCCATTTAGTGTCAGTATTTACCCCAAGATCGGCGCTTGTATTTAGGCAATGGTGTTCTAGTTGTGTGTGTGTGGCATGTAACCTTAATTAACACCGTTTCATGTTTTGCTTTCTATGCTTTTCTCATCATTTAACCTAAATAATCTCATCACCAAAGTTTTAAAGTGCAGAGCCCTTAAAATATTGTTTTTTTTATGATAGTAGTGTTATTTACAGTAGCAATGCGAAAAAGAAACAACTTTAATTGCAGGAAACTGAAAAATAATCTAATTAGGAATGGAACTTGGAATGGGGGGGGGGTTAGAGGTAGGTGGTGAAGTCGTAGTTTTGTACGTTTTTTTGTAAAATTCAATTCTGGAAACATCAAATTGTTAATTTTTTCCAATAAATCATATTTACTTGAAAATAGGTTTACTCTCAAACTGAAGCTATTTTTCAAAGGGAATTAACAGTTTCATAATTACCAAACGTTTTATAAATTATATTAGATTAAAAATTCTTGGAAAGGTAAGTAATTTTAGTGATTAAGAATTCTCACTTTAGTTCATTTTGTGCAGCGTATTTCTTCTCGCCTTTTAAATAAATTTGTTTTATTATAATCATCTCGAATTTTGGGTTTAATTGTGTACTTTTGTTAATTTATTAACTTGTTTTTAAAACTGGTTTCTACGCTCTTTCAAATTGTGTCCATCAAAGCTTCTACCAACACCTTAATTGATCAAGAAAATGTTTTTTATCAAACAAATGATTTATATGATTTATATGTCTAAAGATGAGAGCAGCCTGTAGATTCATTGACTAGGAAAGCTAACTAAGCTAACGATCTCTAATTTAATGATGGTTTTCATTAAACTACGATATTTAAAAAAAGCCGGTGTGTGTCCCGTTAAAGTGAATAGAAAGTTGTAAATTGGATGAAAAAATGGAGATAAAGTGGAGGTTGAGGTTTAGAGGCCAGTAAAGTCTATAAATCAATAGATTAGTAACTCTTTGCATAAGGTAAATGCTCAAGGGACTTAAAGGTCAGAATGATCAGATAGGGGGTACTGGGGTCTTTTAGGTGATTTATCATTCTAAACGAGATAAATGCAGGTCGCGTTGAAGCAACGCATTTTCTAAAATAGTTCTACCTGGAAAAAAGTTTAATATATCAATTAAAATGTTAGAGACCATTTACCCTAAAGTGTTATCGAGTTAGTTCATATTTTGCGACACTGTGAGTATAAGTGAGTAATCGATATTCTCTTGGATAAAAGGCGAAGTGGAGGGGGGGGGTGAGGGTTGGGGTTAGAATTTGAACTTGAGCGCACATTAGTAAGTAAAAACAATTTCACGGAAAAAATATGCATTAGGTTGTGATTTTCATGAAATAGTGCTTTGCTCTTTAGTTTTCGAAAATTAGGCAGAAATTGAAAAAATGGTACATTTTAAGAATTCAGATATATTTTTCGTAATTCTTTTCATGCGTAAATATTATTTAGTACTCTGTATGGTAATGTTTTTCGCTTGAAGCACAGTAGATAAGAGATTTGACTAATACCAAAAGGTTGCAATTATTTCTCAGCAAAATCGGTCTTTTTCAATTACTGATTCTCTGTGTGATGTGAAGTCATTTTAACTTGTGTACGAAGTTTTGTTTTTTTAACGTTAAACTCTCACTCTCTGCTACCGTGGTAAAAGCATATTAATCGGGGTAAATAAACCTATTAATGCACTTAAATATGTGATAAAATGCGCATTTTTCGATTTCTCTGTATTGCAAATATGAGTGGCTCAGTGTGGTTAATATTGAAATATGCAGATACCCTACATAAACATATATATAAAATCTTTGTAACATAAAAATATTAGAATATTTACTATTTCAAATGATGCATATGCCTTTAATCTATTTTTAAATTTCTTTTTTATTTTAACGGTACGCTTGAGTACAATTATTGCCAGCTCCTTGCTGTGTTGAAATCACGTAAGATTGTCATGTGCCACTTTTAAAGTCATTAAAAGGGAGAACTCTTCCCACTTCCCATCCATTAACTCCTCTAACTCAAAAAATTGGAGTGACGTTGTTGCTCAATCGGTTGGTCTCAATCGATCTGTGATGCCGAATTTCTTTTGACCTTTGAACTGGGCTTGAAAGTCAAAAATTAACATAGGCTTCAATTACTCGCCCTACAAATTTAACTTCAAACGATATTCCAAAGTAACTGTTGGTGCATTTTTTAAGGAAAAGGAAGCCTTAATTACGATTGGAGCTTAAAAGAAATCTTTTTAGACTGAATTCTTCTGCTAGTCTTCCTCCTCTCATTAATCCTCCTATCTTAGGGCAGAAAAATTTATTCAAATGAAACAAAGAAATTTCAATAGTGTTATGATTAGTTAATTAATTTTTCCAGTCACTTTCATTCGGTATCATAATTACCCGATTTAAAAATTCCACTTGTTTGTTATATGGCAACACTGACGATTTCTTTACTCATTTTTTGGCAAAAGAAACATTTATCTAGTCCAAGCAAATACTCTTGGCAGATAAGATAATTTCATTATCTTTCTTGGTCTTGCAAATTAGAAAGTTAAAA